AACTGTTTTAAAATCGCTTCTTCTCCTAGTGAATTCAGGACAACCTGTGAGGATTGAGTTCATCAGTACCAGGAAAGTCCAACCAAGCAGCAGTGTCATTGTCCTTGTGTCAGGGCATCCTGAGGCCTGGGGCTGGTCTGGCAGCTTCCCAGCTGTAGACAACTTAATCCCTCCTCTGCATTCCCTCATGGTCACTGGCCTCGAAACATGCCAGCCCCACTGCTAGAAGCAAGAGGCAAGCATCATTAGTGAATGGTTTTAAATCACATTATTCAAACTTGGTTTGTATTTATATATTATTGTACCACTAATTATTTACTTCTTCCTAATGAAAGTAAATAGATACAGGAAAAAAATTTGAAGGATAGTAGAGTAGTGCTAAATCCTCATCTACAACTTCAGGAAGACAATAGATAATGCCTTAAATAATGTAAAAAAATGGAATATAGGTTTATTACTGAGAAGTGATGAAGCTGGCTCTGGCAGTGCACACCTATAGTCCCCAGGACTTTGGGAGGCTGAGGCAGGGCGGTTGCAAGTTTGAGCCCAGCTGAGACGACTGACCAACTTAGTGAGACCCTGTCTCAAAAGTAAAAAATGTAAAAAGGGCTGGAGACGTGGCTCAGTATAGAGGTACTGGCTTCAATCCTCAGAAAAGAAGGCAAGTAGGAAGGGGAGGGAAGAGAAAAGGGAGAGAGAAAGAAGAAAAGAAAGGGGAGGGGGAATTATGATCCAAATATCAGAAAAAATAACTCAAATAATTGAAAAAAATTAGAAAAGAAGAAGGGGAGAGGACTGTAGGTGGGAAAGTGGGACAAGGATATCTATACTTTGTGATAAGCCTTTTGGGGTCAGGCCTCAGGGAACAGGAAAACCCCTAACATGGCACAGAGTAGTCCAAACTATAGCCCAAAGAAATAACCACCTAGTTGCCAAGAAAGCCCTTTGGCCACTATTATGCCTGAATGCCTCAGAGAGGGGCAGGAAGGACATCATACTTGGATCCCTCTGTCTAGCTCTGGTCTCTAAAATAGATAAAACCTTGAGCTCTTTTCTGATTCTCTCATCAAAAAACAACCTTTTGCTTAACTTTTACAAACATTGTATACATGATAAATTATGAGAAACTAAGACAAATTACATTCTTGGTAAATTTGCTGGGTTTGTGAAAACTCCTGTTGCATTTTTTCACTGGCGAGCCAGCCTTGAGGCCTTGACTGTTTTCTTCCCAAGTTAAACTCCTTGTGTGTGTGTGTGTGTGTGTGTGTGTGTGTGTGTGTGTGTGTGGTATAGTACTGGGGATCAAATCCAGGGCACCCTGCAGGCTAGAGTTCTACTACTGAGCCGTACCACCAGCTGTTTTTATTTTATTTTGAGACAGTGTCTGGCTCTAACTTGTTATACTCCTGCCTTGGAGTTCCTGAATGCCAGGATTATAGGCATGCACTACCATGTCAGCTGTGAAACTCCTTTTCTTTATGCTTTGGTCTACATTTTGCTTTCACACTTCCCAGTCTATGAATTAGGGCCCCTGGGGGACACCGCCCTGAAAGTGTCTCTGTGGGTATGAATGAAGGAACTGGGACAGTGTAAGATCTTTGTGACTCAGCACAGCCACACCAGCTCCTAGACATCAGCTCAGATGTGAGGACTGAGTATGTCAGTTCACTGGGAAATCACAGCAGGTACTGCTCTTTGACTATGTGATCAGATTGCTTTTTCCCATGATACTCACCATATAGGTGGTTCCATAGGAGAGTTTTTGCTTGTTTGTTTGTTTGTTTGTTTTTGAAACAGAGTCTCAGCATGTTGCCCTGACTAGCCTCCAACTCCTAGACTCAAGTAATCTTCCTGCCTCAGCCTCCTCAGTACTGGGATTACTGACCTATACCACCATGCCTGGCATGATGGGGATTTTTAAAAGGGAATTTTAAAATCTAAGGTAGAGAATTGTCATGGAAATGGAGCACAAAATAACCACTAGTGTATGTGAAACCAAAGTAACAAATCACGCTTAACCTCGAAATAAAGCAACCAGCCCACATCTCATGGTGCAAACACAAAACCACAGGGATTCTTTCCCCAAAGAGGACACAAAGCTCCTTTCTCCATAGTTGGATGATGCCATTCCTCTTCTAGATAAGACACGTTGCTTCTTAAATAAATTTCCTTCAGTTTAAATATTGAGATATAAAGTTATCTGGAGCCAGGCATGGAGGCACATACCTATAATCCAAGCTGAGGGAGGGAGGCTGAGACAGGAGGATCACAAGTTCATGCACAAATGGGCAACTTAGAGAGACCCTGTCTTAAAATGAAATATAAAAAAGGACTGGGGAAAAATCCCTGGGTTCAATTTCAGTATTACAAAACGAATGAATGAATGAATGAATGAATGAATGAATGAATGAATAAATAAATAAATAAATAAATAAATAAATAAATAACCAACCATGGTTAGTACCCTTTATGTTAGATGTTTGGGAAATTAGAGATGGATTGAGAAAAAATAGTTAACATATAAACAAAGAAATTCAAATGAACATAAACACAAAGTACTCAGAACGATTACAACCCTCGGGTCTGTAACTGGTCACATGATCACAGCTAACATTGAAAGCTGTCTTCTTCTATGCTCTTCTACCCTCTTTGCCCAAAGCAAGCACCCTGGTATGGCTGACCTTAACCAGAATCAGAGACGGGCATTCTGGGAAACATAATGAGATGAGAGCCACAGTGCAGGAAAGGGGAAGAAGGGAGAGAGGCTTGGGACAAGTCCCACCCAGGAAACCTGATCCACACCAGGGAAGAACTGATGCCTCTGTTGTCCCAGACTCAGGCGAAGTAGCTGGGTCTTCCCAAGCCACCACATCAGAGACATTTCCAGGGACAGCACCTGTGGAAAAGGTGCAGATGTGGGCTTCCGGGCGTTGGGGAACCCACACATCTATCCAGGTGCTCCACCCAGAGAGTTGTGGAGCAGAAAATCAGTGTTAGCCCAGGCTCCTGTCCCCGTGTAGCTCACCCCACATCTCATGCTGATACCACTCCAGTGGGGGAACATTTACTGAAGAAGGAGGGTGCTGTACAGTAGGGTCGTCACTGATACCCCTCATCCTGCTCATCACCCTGTTCTAGACCCACAGCCTTCAGTATTCTGCTGGGTGGGGGCTCTGGTCTCAGGCAGTGATTGAGACCCTCACCCTGGCAAGATCAGGGCCCCTGGTTAAATGGTCAGACATCCTGTCTCTCCCATGAATGTTACTTGGGTAAGTGGCTCCAGGCCCTCCGGGGAGGGGTTGAGGAAATCATTGTCCCTGTTTACTAGAGACAGTAGAATCATAAATTCCTTCCCAGCAAACCCAGCTCCTCTGGACCTGGGAACTCTCTCAGATCTAGAAACTGGCAGACATTGTGACTTTCTATTGGGGAAACTGACAATGTCCTTCATGGTCACTCAGTTTTCTTGTGGGATATGTAAGTCAAGCAATGCCCTAGGAGCTGGCTGCCCATCCCTCTTGGCCTTGGGAGCACTGTGGTCACTACATACCACCACAGAGCCCCAAGGGTTTGTGCTCCTGGATGCTACTCCCGTGAGCTCCTTACTGCCCACTTCCATAGTCGTGTCCACCTTGCCCTGGCAGCCAACCATTACAGCTGGCCCTGCTAGTCCAGGATCCTGCCATCCTCATTGACATGACAGAGTCCAGTTCCACGACAGCACCTCCAGAGTGAGCCCTGGCTTACCACAGGGAAGAGCTCCTGTTGAGCTTCCCAAGGCCACTGTCCCCTGCCTTGCATGCTCTGTAGCTCCTTGGTGAGAGCAGCGTCCATGCTGGTGCAGTCTCCTGGTTCCTGCAACTGGGTCTTACCCCATCTTTGGTGAGAAATCCTGTCCCTCCATGTGCAGAGTCAGTCCTTTCCCTAGGGACCTGAGAGATTTGGGTAGGACTTGCTCCCAGGCGGTATCAGAATGAGAGACTGGGACAGGGAAGGAGAGGAGGCAAAGTAAAGGTTCAAAAGTGTTCTTAAGCCAGTGTGGTGGTGCACACCTGTAATCCTAGCATTCTCTGAGGCTGAAGCAAGGGGGTCTCAAATTCAAGCTCAGTCTGAGCAAATTAGCAAGACTCTATCTCAAAAAAAAAAAAAAAAGTCTAGCCATGTAGCTTAGTGGAAAAGCTCTAGGTTCACTCCCTAGTACCACACACAGACATGCAGTCTCAAATGCAAACCCTGAGAATTTTGATCAGATCCTGCAGGCAAGCTCCCTCCCTGCCAGAAGCAGGAGAACTTGGCTTGTCCCTCTATACTTATTCTAATGCATTAAGGGTCACAGTCACCAGAGGGGAGGCAGTTCTTAGGGACATCCAGCTTTTCTACATAGGTGGGTCCAAGAGTTTCCAGTAGCCCAAGGGCCATCTCCTAGTGAAGTTGGTAATAAAAGTTGGGGGCTAGCGGAGCATAAGATGACCAAAAAGATCTAAAGGGATTTGGCTGGCTAAATCTGATAATCCAGGATTTTTAAGGAGCTGGGCATGGAGGTGCATGCCTGTAATCCCAGCACTCTGGGAAGCTGAGGCTTGGCGGCTTGGTAAGACCCTATCTCAAAAAAGGGCTGAGGATGTAGCTCAGTACAATCCCTCACCCCAGGTTGGGAGACTCAAGGACTCTCAGGAAGCGGATAACAAGCCTCATGACTTCCCCTCCCCAAGTTCCTCCCAACAGAGGCGTGTTCCACCCCAGCCCAGCACTTCACACCACATCTGGATTCAAAGGTGCAGAAACCCACCTCCCCAAGCATCTGCCTTCTGATCTCTGTCCTTCCCATAAGGGTTTTACTGCATAAACCCATTCCCTGGACAAGCTCGCACAGGCTAGAATGGAGAGGTGGGGTGAGGACTGGCCAAGGGCCCTGCTCTAGAACACCCCACAAAACTTCCTTAGAAGTGAAACCCCTGGGGCAAGACAAATCCAGGGACAGAAGCATAAAGACAAGACACTGTAGCTCATTTTAATTTATTTTTCATGTTTTGTTTCTCACTTACCAACACATGTGTAAAACATGGCAGGCTGTGTTAGTAAAGGAGAAGTAGGGAGGGAAGAGGGCAGGAATCAAGCAGCCACACATGGGACATCAGGTAGAGCAAGAAGTGTTTGGCAGCCAGAGGTAGCCAGTGACTTCTTCCCAGCAACCCGCTTTCCCATTGTGAGACTTCAGCAGTTGCTGCTGCTATTACAGCCCCTGCCCCAGACTATTTGGTAAACAGCCTTCCTGTTGCTCCCAATCCTTGTCCCCAGTATATTTTTCCCACACCTCCAGCCAGGAGGCAGGGTCTGCCGGGCAGCCCCTTCCCACCACCTGGTCCAGAAGACCTCTGCCCCTGCTGTTAAAGCGCCAACTCCTTCAGCAGCATCTGGACAACCCGAGGCAGAGCAGGGCTGTCCCACGCTCTTGGGAGGGGGGCTCTTCTACACCTTGCAGAAAACCCTAGAATGCCCTCTATGTTAGCCACAGGCTGTTACTCCAGTAGATGCTAAGGGGCCACAGGAGGGCTTGGGAACCCGGGATCGTGGCAGCAGAGGGTTAGAACTCCTCTGCGCCTGCCCCAAGCGGAACCCTGGGCTGCCCCAGAAGGAAGGTTTACCTTCCATCCAGAGCAGGGCTTCCTGGCACTTCTTTGTACTCTGCCCCCCTCCCCTGTTGCACACTGTTACAAACACGGGCGTTTCCATCAGAATCATATCCACCTAGATGCACTGCCATCCTAGCAAGTGTTTTCAAAGCAAATGCCACCGAGAGGACAATTCAATGCCTTGATCAGTTTTCAATCTAGTCCGGGTAAATTCTACACCTCTCTCCCGTTTTTCTCCTTGAAATACTTCTCACCAAGATCCATCTTCTCCCTGTGTCTCTCCATATAGATACCTTATTCTCTGGGTAGTGTTCGGTCCACTGCAATTACTTGTCACAGGGAGTTTTCTCAGATGACTCTTGTTTCTGCGAAGTCTGATTTTTTCGCAGGAGAAACAAAACATTGTGGCCACCTGCGCCCTATCTATTGGCTTTCCCGTGCTATCTTACGTTTCGTGGATGAATTCTGGGGGTGGGTGTGAATCTGTGAACCTGAAACTTCTCAGGGAATCTGGGGGATGATGGAAGTCTTTTTTTCCCCGCAAGGATATTCCAGGAGACCACAAACTTGGGAGCAATGCGTCCGGCCATCTCCACACGTGTGCGCTCAGGGATCCACAGGGGAAGGTAACCCATGTCCCCCGCGCTTCCCTGCTCTGCGATCCCTGAGGCACACGTATCACGCATCAGGGCGCCTTGGCCGCTGCTGAAGCTGCGGACCCCGAGGTCGGCTGGGCACGTGCAGCTCCGCTGGGGGGCGCGGGCCGAGATGCGCGCAGCAGACCAAGGCCCCGGGAGCGGCCCGCACCGTGCAGCTGGCGCTCGTGGCGGCGGATCTGTACCTTGTGGCGGAAGCGCTCTCCGCAGTCCTCGCACACGTAGGGCCGCTCGCCCGAGTGCGTGCGCCGGTGCCGCAGCAGGTTAGAGGAGACGCTGAAGCGCTTGCCGCAGTCGCCGCAGGCATAGGGCCGCTCACCCGTGTGCGTGCGCTGGTGCTGCACAAGCGCTGAGCTCTCACTGAAGCGCTTGGAGCAGTAGGAGCAGGCGTAGGGTTTCTCGCCCGTGTGGATGCGCTGGTGCGTCACCAGGTTGGAGTGCTGCGAGAAACCCTTGCCACACTCCCCACAGCGGTGCGGCCGCTCACCTGTGTGCGTGGCCTGGTGACGCACCAGGTCCGTGCTGCGGCTGAAGCCCTTGCCACACTCCCCACAGATGGTTGGCCGGTCCCGCGCGCGGCGCCGCCGCCTCTGCCGAGTGGGGGTCAGAGCTGCACTGCCCGCCGGTCCTGGGATAGCCACCACGGCCGGTGTGGCCATGGCTGGCAGCACCATGAGCTCCTGAAGTACCACGTAACCTGGGGGAGCTACCACAACAGCCGCTGGGGCCCCTGGGACTGCAGCCCCACTGGCTCCTGCAGCAGCGGGCACCAGCTCCAGCTGCAGCTCAGGTTGCACGGGGGTCAACTCCAGCTGCACCTCCTGAGGCTGTGCGCCCAGGTCCACAGGGGTCAGCTCCAGCTGCACCTCCTGCTGCTCTAGCTGCTGCTGCTCCAACTGCTGCTGCTCCAGCTGCCGCTCCAGCTGCTGTAGCTGCTCCTGCAGTTTGAGCTGCAGCTGCCTCTGCTCCTGCTGCCGTTCCAGCTCTTGCTGCCGCTCCAATTCCTGCTGCCGCTCCAACTCCTGTTCCGCTGCCAGGTCCACAGGCATAAGCTCCAGCTCTACCTCTTCCTCCTCCTCTGGTTCCAATGCAGCAGGAGGCTGTTGAAGAGGTTCCTGTTGCTGTTGCTGGAGCTGCCCCTGCTGCTGCAGCAAGAGCTGCTGCTGGATCTGTGCCTGCTGCTGCTGGAGCAAGAGCTGCTGCTGTAACTGTTCCTGCTGCTGGAGCAACAGTAGCTGCTGTTGCTGGAGCTGCTCCTGTTGCTGTTGGAACTGTTGCTGCTGTTGGAACTGTTGCTGCTGTAGCTGTTGCTGCTGTTGTAACAGTTGTTGCTGTAATACTTGCTGCTGCTGCTGCTGCTGCAATAGTTGCTCTTGCACTTGGCGCTGCTGTAACTGTTTTTGATGCTGCAACAGTTGCTCTTGTACTTGCTGCTGCTGCAATAGTTGTTCCTGCACTTGCTGTTGCTGCAGTAGTTGCTCTTGCACCTGTTGCTGCTGTAACTGTTCCTGCTGTTGCTGCTGCTGTAGTTGCACTTGTGCTTGCTGCTGTTGTAACTGTTCCTGCTGCTGCAATTGTTGCTCTTGTACTTGCTGCTGCTGTACCCCTTCCTGCTGCTGCACCCCTTCCTGCTGCTGTACCCCTTCCTGCTGCTGCTCTTGCACTTGGTGCTGCTGTAACTGTTTCTGTTGCTGCAACAGTTGTTCTTTCACCCGCTGTTTCACCTGCCCATGCTGTTGCATTACCTGCAGCTGTGGCGTCAGTTCACGGTGTTGTATGGGTTGGTGGTTTTCCTGTAGTTCCTGCTGGCTTTGCGACCGCTGCTGTTGCCCATCCTGCTGCTCCTGTTGCGATTCTGGTTGATGTTCTAGTAGTTCGTTTTGTTGCTGCTCTTGTGGCTTCTCATACTGTGACTGTTGCTGTAGTTCTGGCTGCTGCTCTAACTGTTGCTGTCGCAATTCCTGCTGTCCTGGCTTGGCTTCCTCTGTGGCCCCTCCTGGGGCTGAGACTGCCCGTAGTTGTGGGCTGCTGCTCCCCTCTTCCTCCTCTTGACTCTCGCTCCCACCACTGCCACCTGTAGTGGAAATGGCAGGAAGCCAGGACAGAAGGATCTACAGGCAGCTGTCTCATCCAGTGTTCCCGTAACTGCCCCTCACCCTCCCACACACAGCCAGTCAAGGGTGCACTAATGAGTTCAGCCGAGACCCAAAAGCATCAGCTCAAGTGACAATGGCAGCATGGCAGCATGGCAGACAGTGAAATGCTCAGGATGGAGTCTGGATTAGAAATATGCCCAAGGGACTGTTGTTACCTCACTCTGAGCCCCAACTCTAACCCCTTCTCTGGGTTTCCTTTCACACAGTTTAGATCTTTGCACCTATACCAGAACATGTGCCAAGGGCTCTCAACACCATTGTCTGTGAAGTCCCTTGTGCTTCATCCATATCCACTGGAAATCAGAGAACCAGGTCTTCCAAGAGCCCCATGCTGAACTCTGACCTCAGTGATAGTCACACCTTCAATAAATGAGCTCAACTTCTCTGTAAATAATAAGGCACTTCTTCAAAGCTGCCTGGAAGGGCTACCACAAACAGTTTTGAGAAATCACCAAAGTGATTGTGAAGCCAGGTTTCAGATGGGCAGCCCTTATTTCAGAACCTGACTTACAAAATTAGGAGCTGTCCTGCCCCCTACAGGCTCAAGAGCCTGAAATATTCTCTACAGCCTGGCAGGTGCTTGAAAACTCCCTCCAACTGCAAATCTTCAGGATTCAACTAGCTCTGTTTGAAATACTGAGATATGAAAGTATTTTAGGTTGGCATTCAGGAATGAAAAGGGACTAAGGCTCGTGGAAATCGACCAATTTATTTCATGGACCCTCAGTTTCCCCTTTTGCAAAAGGAGATATATCCTTCTCAGGAATATTGTGAAATCCAGAGAGGATAAACATAGAGCCTCAGTACTGGGTAAGGTGCAAACACAAGAGTTACTCCATTACTATATTTTTCCTTTCTGCATGATGTGCAATTTCAGTTTCTCTAACTATTAATATTATACTATCAGAAAATCCTAATTCATCTTTACAGGTGTGAACTTAGGAAATTTCTCTATTTCCAAATCTGATTTCAACATATGTTCTTCCCATAGGATCATATTTTAAATTTTGTAATGGAAAGCCATACTTTGATTGATAAAATTTTGCTTTCTGGCCATTTTTCCAGAAATATATTGATAGAATAAAACCAAAAGATATCCACATGTATATAATCCTCTTTTAGAAAAATATTTCTAGTGACCCGTGCTTAGGCTAATGATCAGTGAATGCATTTTTCATGGTCACATCAGCTGGAGGTATGCAGGTGGTAGATGAAGACAGCCATGAAGTCCATCTGATATCTCTTAGGCACCCCTTTCTCCCACCTCCTCTGGGAGCAATAGGAACAAATCATACCTCTGTGTGACTTGCATACCTAGCTTGGCAACATGGCTACTGTGACTTTGTGGGGCAGAAATTCCAGCATTTTTATCAAAGGCATTTTGTAAATATGTACTTAAGCTGGGGATTTAGCTCAGCAGCACAACACGTGCCTAGCAAGTGCAAGGTCCTAAGTTCAATTTCCGGTATCAGAAAAAAAGGAGTCAAATATGTACTTAAGTGTTGCCTGATATGTACATCCTTGCAAGGTTTTTGTCAGTTAAATTTATAAATCAGAAGAGCCCTAGCCAGACACATGCCTATAATCCCAGCACTCTAGGAGGCTGAGGCAAAAGTTCAAGCAAGTTCAAGTCCAGCCTGGACAGCTTGGCAACTTAGCAAGATCTTGTCTCAAAATAAAAAATTAAAAGCGGGGGGGCGGGGGGGAGAGCATAGCTGGGGATGTAGCTCAGTGTGAAAGCCCTGGGTACAATCCCCAGTACTGAAGGGGAAAAAGAGTCTTTGTTTAGCCCACATGTCCCCAAAATCCTTCCAATTCCGTCTGTCCTCCCAAGATCTGTTTAACTCTGCCCTGGGCCCTAATCAGTGCCCTTAAAGCACCCAACAGGAAACAGACTCTCCTGACTATGGCCACAGTAGAAGGCTCATCCAGTCTGGATCTCAGAGGGAGCACTCTTGGAAGACTGGCAGCATATTTGCCCCAAGCATCAGGTGGAGAAAAACAGATGGAAGCAGTGTTCTAGGACAAGTGAGCAGGGGTAGAGGACACAAGGGAGAAAAGCCACAGAATCAATGCTTGAGGTACAAGCAGCAAAGGGGAGAGTATTTCTGCCCCAGAATGCATCTGGAAACTGGAGACTGCAGCCAGGGCCAGGTGGAAGGACAATGGAGCCACCTGACTGTGGAGCACCTGGGACCAAGTTCCAGCCAGCAAGAGTGTGGGGGTCCCCTTTCCAGCAAGACTTCTGGCTGACCAAGCCACCTGGGAATAATCCCAAGGCCAACATGCAGGTGTTACTCAAGGCAGCTAAAGTTGCAGATGTGAGTGGGTGCAGGCTGTCAACTACCCCAAAGTACCTATCTCTGCCACGTCTTGGGGTCTGTCAAAAGACCCTCACAGGGGAAATCTCATCATCCCTCCCCCAGCCCTCACCTGAGACAGTGTCAGGCCCTGGGCCCCCATCCTCAAGACATCGCAGCTCCAACACAAAGGTCTCTGCCGCTGGCCTCAGCTCCATCCTGTCGGTCACATCGGGGTCTCCGGGAGCCGGCTGTACTGAGAGGAAGGAAGGAAGCTGCTCAGGTGGGAAGTGACAGCTTCTCCTGGCTATTCAGAGGGCTCTATTTTAGCCCTAACAGAGCCAGTGGCCACTCCTCATTGAGACATGCTGAGGGAACCAGCCCTCCAAGGGTAGTGATCCAGAGTCACAGATGGACATTTAGGGGGTGTTCTCAGGCAAGAGAGAGAGTGTCCATGTCACATTTCCCTTGCAGCCTTCAAAGGAAGTCAGTTCCCTTGGTCTCCCAGGCCTCCTGTCTTCCAGATGGCTCTGGGAGCTCACCCAGCCTTCCAAGGCCACCAGCAGGCCACATGTGTCAGGTGCTACCCCAGCCTCCTGAGAAGGTAGGTGCCCAGAGCTCTATAACCCAGGGCAGGGGATGCCAACCTGCCTGGGCTCCTGAGCCCACCCTGCAGAGGGGGCCCTACATACAGGCCTCCCCTCTTTCCCATCCAGGCTGACTCCTACCCCCTGGGCCTTTCCAAAGTCAGTGCAAACCCTCCTACAAGAGGCGCCCCAGGGCCTCACCTGGGACAGCATTTCTTGCGGCAGGCGGGCAGGCAGGAGGCAGCCCCTGCACTCGGGGAGGTGTGGTCAACAGAGGCTGCAAGGTGAAGGCCACACAGCAATCAGCTGGCTCCTTCCGAAGGCGCCTCCACCTAGGGAGGCGCTGGCCATCCCGGGTGACCCTTCTGGGCACTCCGGAGGGTCCGCGCTGTCAGGGCTGCCGAGGTCGCCCTGGGCCAAGAGAAGGGGCAGAGTGGAGTTCCCGGGCAGAAGTTGGTGGAGACTCTCCGGTGGGGGCGTGGGCCAGAAGCAGCTGTGATCGGACGCAGGGCTTAGGGTTACCCTCGGGGAACCATCGCCCGCCGCAGGGCCCGGGCCGGCGCCCTAGGTTGGCCCGCAGGGTGGCCTGGGCTCGGGTCGGCGGGGCCGCGAGACACAGGTCCTGGGCGGCCACTG